CTGCATAGTCTAGTTTTAGCAAGAATTCTTCCGAATCAGCTTAGAGAGAATCCCCACCCTTGATTTCTAATCACTCAGTATCGGATGAAATTCCATACCCTCCTTCATCCCTCTGGTTATATCTGATCACCCTGGCCTGCCTGCAGCAAGAATACTGTTTGTTTAACCACAATTTCTCTCTGTCCCCAGTGTTTCCTCTTAGTAATTTTCCTTCCATTGATCCCTATTTTTTTCCTTGGCTATAAATCCCCACTTATTCTTGCTGTATTTCTTACTGAGCCCAGTTCTATACTGAGGCCTCTTTCCCCCTATTGTAGTCATTTTTGAATAAAATCTGTTTTTACCACTTCATTGTCTATCTATTTTTAAAAAATAATATCAACAGTATACGATCTGGAAGAACAATTTTTATCATGTATATATACTGATAGATATTTCAACTTGCAGTTGGAGAAAGCTGGTGATATACAAAATGTGAATTGGTGCTTTGTGTACATATAGAATGCTTGGGAGGAAATGACAGTTGCCAATGTTCTGTCCTATTTATTATTGAAGACCCAGGTTATGGGAAATATAGTTTGGGATCAGGGTTGATGAAACCCAGTTGTGTGAAAAGGAAGGCAGTGCATTGATATTCAAATAAAAGAAGTGGCCTCCAGTTTTTGTATTGTTGTATTTATAGAAACGGTGGTCATAAATATTCCATTTGGTTTTGGTTTATTCAAAGAACTACTAATAATTATTAATGTTGTAAGTTGTAGCTTTTGAGTGCATTCCTGACTTTTTGATGAATCATGTAAGGAATTGGGCAGTAAGTATAAGTCTGGTTATGATGAAAAAAGGTGGTCATGTGAATTTTTAAAATAAGAGATAAAAATATTTGTTTCTTTTTAAATATATTATATTGATTATGCTGTTATAATTGTTCCATGTTTTTTTCTCTGCTTTATTCCCCTCTGTCTTGCATGTCCCTTCCCACCAGTATTCTCCCCACTTAGTTCATGTCCATGGGTTGTACATATAAAGTCTTGGGCTTCTCCATTTCCTATACTGTTCTTAACCTCCCTCTGTCTGCTTTGTAGCTACCATTTATGTTTTTTATTCCTTGTACTTTTCACCCATTCTACCCCCCCCACTGTTAACACTCCATGTAATCTCTATTTCTGTGATGCTGTTCCTGTTCTAGTTGTTTGCTTAGTTTGCTTTTGTTTCTGTTTTTTTTAGAATCAGTTGTTGATAGTTATAAGTTTGTTGTCTTTTATTGCTCATATTTTTTATCTTTTTCTTAGGTAAGTCCCTGTAATATTTCATATAATAAGGGCTTGGTGATGATGAACCCCTTTAACTTGACCTTATCTTGGAAGCACCTTTATCTGCCCTTCCATTCTAAATGATAGCTTTGCTGGGTGGAGTATGCTTGGATGTAGGTCCTTGCCTTCATGACTTGGAATACTTCTTTCCAGCCCCTTCTTGCTTGTAAGGTCTCTTTTGAGAAATCTGCTGACAGTCTGATGGGAACTTCTTTGTAGGTGACTCTCCCCTTATCTCTTGCTGCTTCTAGGGTCCTCTCCTTCATTTTAATCTTGGCTAATGTAATTATGATGTGCCTTGGTATGTTCCTTCTTGGGTCCAAGTTGTTTGGGACTCTCTGAGCTTCCTGGATTTCCTGGAAGTCAATTTCCTTTGCCAGATTGGGGAAGTTCTCCTTCATTATTTTTTCAAATAGTTTTCAACTTCTTACTCTTCCTCTTCTCCTTCTGGCACCCCTATGATTCAGATGTTGGAATGTTTAAAGTTGTCTCAGAGGTTCCTAAGCCTCTCCTTATTTTTTTTGAATTCTTGTTTCTTCATTCTGTTCTTGTTGAACATTTATTTCTTCTTTTTGTGGCAAATTGTTGATTTGAGTTATGGTTTCCTTCCTTTCACGGTTGGTTCCCTGTATATTTTTCTTTATTTCACTTTTCATAGTCTTCACTTTTTTCTCTATTTTGTGACCACACTCAACCATTTCTGTGAGAATCCTGGTTACCAGTGTTTTGAACTCTGCATCTGATAGGTTGGCTGTCTCTTCATTGTTAGTTCTATTTTTGGAGTTTTGTTCTTTTCTTTCATCTGGGCCATATTTCTTTGTCTTGGTGTACCTGTTATGTTGTAAGGGGTGGATCTTTAGCATTTGGCCAGGGTGAGGTGACCCAGTTTGCTGCATTGTGATGCTGTATGTGGGGGAGGGGTCAGAGTGGGCACAATACCATTTGCTTGGCTCTCACCCTCTTTCAGTCACTTCCCTGCTACCCACAAGCAGATTGGGCCCTTCTGGTCCTGATTCCCAGGTGAGTGGGTTTGTGTGCATTCTAGGACCTTATGGGTCTCTTCAATGAACTCTCCTGTGAGGCTGGCAGTTTCTCCTACCATCACAACTTCCACAGAATTTTATAGCCGGAGGCTTTGAGGCTTTATTTCCCTGTGCAGGAACCCTGGGTTGTATGGTCTGTCTTGTTCCCCAGTTGTTCCTTCCAGTTTATCTGCACACAAATGCAGGATTGCCTGCTCTGCCAACTGCTACCTTGCTGTGATTCTTCTCTGCCTTGGCTGCTCATCTCCCCACTTCCTGCCAGTCTGAATGAATGTTTCTTCTTTAACTCCTTGGTTGTCCCATACAGTTTGATGTTTCTGGCATTTCTGGTTATTGTTTTTTAAATTTGTTGTTGTTTTTCTTTTGTTTGTGCACATAGGCAACGTATATCTACCTATGCCTCCAGCTTGGCCAGAAGTCAGTGCTGATAATTCTAATAAGACCTTTTTTTGTAATTTACCTGATTGTCACACCAAGTAGTATATTTATTCAATACAGTATGTTCAATTGCTTGAACATTTATTTAATCTCAAAATACCCCATTTTTAAATTTGCAAATGAGAAATTATGATTTCTTTTAAGAAAACTGAATTGTGGTAAAAATGATTAATCTTTGATGCTTTGCAATACCAATATTTAACTTTTTGAGAAAGAAATATATATGATTTATTGTCACATATGTTTAAAAGTCACATTACTCCAAATGCAATATTATATACATAACGTTTCAGGAAAAAATGAAACATTTTTCAGAACTAAATATGACTAGAGGCCCTGGCCAGGTAGCTCAGTTGCCAGGTAGCTCAGAGGCCAGGAGAGTCATCCTGATATGCCCAGGCTGCAGGTTCAATCCCTGGTCAGAGCACATGTCAGAATCAACCAATGAGTGCATAAAGAAGTGGAACAACAAATGAGTGTTTCTCTCCCTCTCTCTCTCCTCTTCCTATCTCTCTTTAAAACAAACAAAATAAATAAATGCAACTGGAGAATGGCTTAAGAATCCTTAATTCTTCCTCCCAAGTTGAGAGCTTTAACGTTTTGTTTTGTTTGTGACATACTTATAAATTTAATGAATGGTAGAGTTCTGAAGCTCTTCATCAGTGAGAAGTCTTCATAATTTCTAGATTCAAATGGTCCAAATACCCAGAATTTTTTTGACAAAAGCACCAAATATTTGTTGTCATCCAACAATCTTTAATTGGGAAACAGGACTTTATACTTACTTTGATAAAAGTAGTAAGAGTAGAATCTGGTTGGATTTTGAATTCAAGGTCTTTAAAATTTATTTATTTATTTATTTATTTATTTATTTATATTTAGAGAGAGAGGAAGGGAAGGAGAAAGAGTGGAAGAGAAATATTAATGTGTGGTTTCCTCTCATGTGTCCCCTACTGGGGACCTGGTCTGCAACCCAGGCATATGCCCTGACTGGGAATCGAACTGGAAACCCTTTGCTTCACAGGCCCATGCTCAATCCACTGAGCTACACCAGCCAGGGCCGAATTCACGAATTCAAGGTCTTCTGGTTCCAGGTCTTTGTCATTGAGCCAGTCACTGGCAGCTTGGTAAGAGCACAAAAAATCCAGTCTCTTTCACCAATAGGGAATACTTAATAATGATAATAATAACAAATATATCGATATTTGATTAAAAACAACTTTTCTTTGGCTATGTGGGCCCAAAGACAATTTAAGTGACTGGTGACCTGTCACCTCTAGTCACTGAGATTCCTCAAAATTTCATGTTCACCTGAGTGTGATAGTTAATTAATAGCATTATCTTTCCTATGGCAAGATTTGCACAGTTCATAGATACTTTAAAAAGTTGGCATTTATAGTCAGTTTAAAAGTTATATTAAAAAGCTTTTTAAGCATATCTTTTTAATATATTTTAAAATATTAGTTTTATATAGCTTTCTTTAATATGTCTTAACATTATATTACTATTTGTTAAAAATAAATGAAAATTCAAGTTTGAGTATTTCTCTAAAACATTTAAAAATATGCCATGTTTTAGAATGTAATGTTTGGCTTGTTTTAATTATACCACCTTGCAGCTGTTGTGTGCAGGACAGAGCTATTTCTCTTTTAAATTTATCAGTGGCTTCTGAGTGAAAGGTTAATACAATTTGGTAAGAAATGAGTAGTTTCACACATTCAAATATTATTAATCCAATTCATTCTGACAGACAGCTTGTTAATTAGAAGTAGCAGTGAACTGAAGCTGCATGTATTTGTTCTGAGTAATTATTCTTTTCAAGAGTGTCTTCTAGGTACCTCTAACAAAGTAGAATTAAGCTCATTCATATAAGAATTTATTTTGTTTTAGTATTTGCCTATCTTTTTCTTATTTCCCTGTGAAACCGGTACTACATAATATTATTTTAAAATTGATATTTTAGTAATGGTAATAAACATTGAATTTTTTTGTTGACCAATGTAACTTGCCTATATTTAATGAATGCTTTTTATGTGATTCTATATTTGTATTTAGGAGTACACAATATGTGGAGAATAAGCCACACCTCTGACACTGACGTATTTCTATTTGATGTATTAGAGTGTGACTCATATAGGTGTTTATATCAAAATTATCTTTATTAAATTAATTAAGAATATTATTAATATATGTTGCTTCTTTATTACAGAAGAAAATACTCAGGAAACATCACAGGTGAAGAAAAATTTGAGTGAAAAAGTTTCCCTCTATAGAGGTGACATCACATTGCTAGAGGTAGATGCTATAGTCAATGCGGGTGAGTAGTTGATTTGTTTGTGATGTATTTGTTTTACAAGTATTTATTGTTTAATAATTTTTATATAAACAGGAATATAAGTATTTTAGAAAAAGGTATAGTTCCTGGTATAGAAATATCTTAATGTATTTCCCTTGTTGATTAAAAGCACTGAGGATTTATTTTTGTGTATGTGCCACAGTTAATGTGCTAACTTTACATAGTATCCATGCCAAGTTGAGACCAGTTGGACCAATTGAAAAGCAATAGATTGTTACAGAAAGTTCTTTAGAAAGAAATTTAGCAGCTCTATTAGTGTTGGTTTTATGCTTAACAATTGGTGAACATAAAAACAAGTTTATCGAGCTTTTTTCTTTAGAATAGCTTATAAAGAGATGATTGAATTACACCAGACAAAAGTAAAATATAAAGAAATTTTATTTATGATTTTCAAACCTCAGTTTTTTTGGTTTCAACTTTTCACATTAGTGATGAAATGCTTTACTTTTATTATTTGAATAATTAAATATGTAAATAATATCATGGTTGAATATGGAATAATAACTGTTATTTGTGGTGCTCTGGATGTCCTATGTATTTTACTATGTAGCTAGATATAAAAAATATGTCATAGTTGTGATTCTATAAAAGTAAATGTTTGTTTTATTTAAAAAGGTTATTTTTCTAAGAGGAAGAGGACTGTCGCAATAAGAGAGGGAAGAATATTGCAATAGGAAGAACCACTTCAATCATGAGATTTATAAGCACCTCAAAGGTCAAACAAAATGTTTTTTTTTTTCCCTAGAGAAGAGTAAGTAGGCAAAAAAGAATTGGATGTGGAGCAGTGGGATGATTTGGTGGTATGATCAGACAGTTGATCAGGGAATGTTTTCTCCTGAGGTCCACTGATTCTTGAGAGAGGTCATTAAGGAGCAGTTCTTTACCTTCCATTCTCAAAGGTGGGCCAAAGTTCAATAGCTTGGAAGAAACCTGACTAAAATTTGATCAAGTCTAGACATTGACCAACCAGAGCAGTCGATGGGGACAAATAGTTCAGCTATTCATTTATGAGTCAAAGAATGGAAATTGGTAGGATCTGGACCTTGGCTTTGTCATAGGTTACAAGCAGTTGGTTGTCCATGAGTTTTATCTAAGCCCTGTGGGGATGAGTGGAAGGGACTGATTTCTTGAATGTTCCTGTTTTCCACAGGTACAGGATTCAGGTAAAGTCCAAGTTTGTCTTGTTTCTCCCTGGTGATGATTAAATTCACACAGAGTAGTAAGAACATCCTTGGTAGTTAAAGAGAAGGGTCTCATGAAGAACTGTAATATTATTAATGGTGGAGTATTATAGCATAGTTCTGGCAAATTTGCAGGAAGTTTGAAAGCCTAGTCAGCTTTTCTTCCCTCAGAATGGACTCTCAGTTGCTTTGTACTGTATCTGCTTTGCCATAATCAGAGCTCAGTTTTTTTGCTTTCTGGTTTTGTGATACCTCTGTATTTCCTTTCTCCTCTATTACCTCTCTAAAATATAAAAGTGTTTGAGAGGATCTCCCAGTGATTTAATATCCACCCAATATGAATCACTCCTTTTGGATAGAATTCCATCTTCAGATTCCTTCACAGAGTATAAGTCTCTCATATCTAGTCTCTGCAGACTCTTCATTTGTTGCATGGGGAGCAGGATGCTTTCCTCTGGTCTCTGGGGCCTCTGGAGGAGACAGGCTCTTGGAAAGTTCATGAACTCCTCTCAAGTACAGAGATTTAATCAGATATCACTGCAGTTAATAAGTTGTCAGTGATCTATTATGCCATATATTTGAGCTCTAATATAAAATGATTTTTATTTTTAAAAAATTTATTGGAGTGACATTGGTTAACAAAATTCTATGGGTTTCAAGTATACATTTCTATGATACATCATCTGTATATTGCACTGTGTGTTTACTACCCAAAGTTAAAATTTTCTGTTACAATATATTTGACATCTTTTGCCCTTTACTACCCTCCTTCTTCCCTCTGGTAACCACCATGCTGTTGTCTATGTCTATGAGTTTCTGTTTGTTTTTCTTGTTTGTTCATTTATTGCTTTCACTTTTATATCCCACATGAGTGAAATCATATGGTTTTTGACCTTTTTGTCTGACTTCTTTATTTTTTTCCTTTGTACTGAATTTATTGGGGTGACACTGGTTAACAAAATTACACAGGTTTCAGGTGCACAATTCTACAACACATCAGCTGTAAAATATACTGTGTGTTCACCATCCCAAGTCAAGTCTCTGTCCATCTTCATTTTCTCTCTGACATATTTCACTTAGCATGATATTCTTAAGATCTTTAAAAGCTCATGTGTGTGTGTATGTATAAAACAAACTTTTTGTGTATTTTTGTAATTTTTAGTTGTTGATTCTAGTTTTTTCCTGTGGAGCACAACTGATGACATGTATTTTCTTCTTAGATACCTAAAGACCACTTTCATGAGTTGTCTGTTTCTTATTATTAGTGTAATACTGAGTTACTATGTTAGTACACTAAATAATAGCAGTAATTACAGTTTTTCTTGAAGTTTGTTGAATGTATATCCATTTATCTCTATCATGAGGCTACAGACTTTCATTTTGAATGATAACCCCTACAATTTATCTCCCTCATGAGGTTACAGTTTTTCATTTTTTATGTTAGCTCCTACAGTGATGTCCTGCCCTTTCGTTCTTAATAAACACTTGATACTGTATATTTATTAAAATGAATCACATGCAATTGAATTTGTAGCACCTCTGACCAATAGCACATTCAGCATTGGGGACTTGATACAATGAGCCAGTTTGGTTCTGATTGTTAAAATGATTTATATTTGATCTATAAATGAAAATGAAAAAATAATTTTTACTGTTTGTTTTTTTGTTGAAATAAAATGATGTGAAGCAGGAAATCATCACAAACATGAAAACATTCCATCATTATTTTGATTCTTTGTCCTTGCCTGTATGTACAATTTTTTCATAGCTGCCACATTGTGTATAAGAGTTTAATGAAACAATATGAAGGCAAGAAGCAACTGTCACTCCCAAAAACCATCTGGCAGGCATCCTTAGCTCACCTCTCTGGCTGTGACAATTATAATTTGGCCTTGTTCCGTATCTCACAAGGACGACCTCATCAGGAAGTTCCTGGGTAGATGGAAAAGAGATGCCAAATATACAATGTAATGACTACTTACAGCTCTCTGCTGTGCAGTTTGGTTGCCTGGTGTGTAAGGAGAGGAACAGCTGTTAACCTTTCAGGTGAACAAGGCAATATGGCAGGAAACTCCAGGGCTGCCTCTGGTGAGAAGGGAAGAGAGGTAGTGCCTATAGTCAAGGTACCGAAGCAAGCCCAGTCATCACTTCTATCAGACTTCTAAAGTTCTCTTTCTATGTCCATGTTAGTACATTGGAATGCCTGATCTTATTCACCATGAATGAAATAACTCAATATTTTAATTATTTTCCTAATATAATATGTTTTCAATTTCCTTAGATTTCTTTAAATGTAATCCAGGATGAGCCTTCTATATATTACATTCTTCTCTGTAGCGAATAATGCATATTTAGTATATTTTAATAAAACAGATATTGTAGACAATAGGGTACACAGGGTAGTAGCACAAGTTTTAGAGCCAGGCAGGTCCAAGTTCAAATTCAGGTTCTCATACCAGTTATTTTTGTTTGTTTGTTTAAAATTTTATGATGAAATAATTATAGGAAATTGCAAAAATAGTACAGAGAGTTCTTTCTACCCTTCACCTTCAGCTGTGTAAGCCTCCCTCAAATGTGATGTCATAAAATTTTACTAAACATAAAGCCTTTGAGGTCCATTATGATTGTTACATGTATCAGTAGTTCATTCCTATTTATTCTGAGTAGGAGTCTATTACATGTGTATATCAAAGTTTGTTCAGGCATTCACCCACTGAAGGATGTTTTGGTTCTCTTCAATATTTTGCTGTAACTAATAGAGTTACTATGAAGATTCATATACAGGTTTTTGTGTGTAGTAGTGGCATGTAGGATGATCTGTTTAGTGTGACTAGGCCTTTATATGATTTTGTACTAAGCCTATCAATCAGAGAATTTTGTTCTTTGCTAGAGCTTAGGGAGAATACATCCATCTAATTTATAGTTCAGTATAATATTCTTAGAGACAGTTTCCCTTGTACCATAATCACAGAAAAATATTTTTTAGGAGATATAATTTGTGAATTATGGGCTATGTAATGAAAAAGCAGTTAACTTTCCTACCCTAATGGGCTGGCTTTGGCTAACAATTAATTCATTTGTCATAAAAAGAATTTCAAAGTGGAAATTGGGGATAGCTGATTTGTTTATTTCACTTATTTCTGTACCCAACCCACCATGCCAAGGACAGGTACATTTACTTTGGGGATAATCATAGGTCAAGTTGTAATGTATATAAGATACACATAACAAATCAAATTTTATAGCATTTTATATTGAACGATCCATTTTAAGGCTTGTGTAAGTGAAGAAATACTAAAGTGAAAAATGAGAATGTGGGGTTTATTGTGTGGAGGTTTTTATTGGGATTATAAAAATATAAATGTAAAACATTTTCCTCCCACAGACAGCAGCACTTAGAAACAAACAAACTATCATACTATAAAAGTACTGCTACTACTACTACCACTGTCGCAGTTCTTCTTTTAGAAAGACCAGAAACAGAGAAAACAGTTTTAGAACTGATACTCTCAAACCTACATTTGTGAAAAAAAAAAAAGGAATGTCAGGAAAAAGCCAAATGAGGTTTCTTCCTGTATGTGAGATATCCCACAAAGCCTATTATTTTGCTGAACACAGATATAAAAATAATCCTGTAGTATAGGATTTTTAATCTTATTTTTATTACAGTTGGCATTCAATATTATTTTGTATTACTTTAAAGTTGTACAGCATTGTGGTTAGATGATCATGTACTTTATAAAGTGGTCCCATCAATATTTTCAGTATCTACCTGGCACC